AGGGGGAGGGGGAGGGGGAGGGGGAGGGGGAAGGGGGAGGAGCTCTTTAAAGAGCAGCCGCCAGAGAAGTGGGAGGCAGTCCCAGGCAACCCCCAGGCTCCCTTCCGGCTTAGGTCCCACTTGGCAAGCAGCCCCCAGTCAGCCAGAGGGCCCAGGGGACAGGCCAGAGCTCCTAAGGGCCCCGCCTGCAGCCCGAGGCAGACCAACCCGAGTGCGCAAAACCCACCTCCATGAAACACGCATGAGCCACACAAACACCACGAGCCACACAGGGACATCCAAGCTCTCTGACCAGAGGCTCATCAATTGGCTGCACCCGATTTGGAAGACCTCCACGCAGGAGGGCCCCTCCCAGGACAGATGGCACCTTCGGTTACCATTCCTGCTGGCCAAGCCTTCTTCAGCAAGACCCAAGACAGCAGGTGGTCCTCAAGTTGCGACAGGTTTTTTTAATGACGAACAAAAAATACAACAGCCGCAGAAAAACCCACTTATTACCCATCTTTGAAGTAACCACCAATCGCTCAGGCCTGTGATCGCGATTCGGATGCTCTGCAATTGTCTCACATTTACGATGGTGGCAGAGGTTTGCAGCCGGGGGGGGGTCGCGGGGGGGCGACTGCGGGTTGCAGCTTTCCTGGATGACAAGCCGAGTCAATGGGGGCAGCTAGTTTCACTCAAAGGTGGCAGTAAATGGTCATAAAATCAAGACTGGTCACACGAAGATCCACTTAGGTTCCCCATCCCAGTTGCAATCTTAAGCTGAGGACTTACAAATACACCGGCTGGAAGAGAAGGCGTGGCCTCCCCCAGTCACCCAGACCGCTACCCTCCTCTTTTGACCGCTTCCCTTCAGCCACTGACCCTGGTTCTTCAGTGGCTCCAACCTTCTGGGCCACATGAGGCTGGTCAGGCAGGAGCCCCGAGGATCCGGCTCTTCCTTTCCCCAACTTCCCAATGGGGAGCAGCAGAAAGGGGTAGCAGGTGGCAGGAGACGAAAGGGCCCTAACCCTTCAGCCCGCCATCCAGCAGGGTTGGCGCCCAGCAGGTCCCTTCATGGCTAAGTGGCTCAGGCTGGGTCTCTGCAGACAGGAGCCACAGGCCGAAGCCCGGGGTAAGTGGGTGGGTAGGGGGACTCTGAGAACCCCACGGATACATATCCAACTGACGGCAGCGCAACTGGGAGGAACCCGGTGTGAGCCAGGACTGGGAAATGCTCAAATGGGCAATACGGGAACGAAGAGCGACTCTCCCTTTGTGCTCTGCCCTGCTTAGACCCCCCCACTTGGAGCTCAGGTGAGGCTCTTGGCACCCCAGTTCAGACAAACCATGGTGGGAGGAATTGAGGGTCTGGAAGCCCGGCTTGTGAAGGTTAAAGGGCCCAGCTGAGTTTAGGTCAGGAAGGGACGCCGGAGAGCGAACCTCTAAAGGCATCTAAAGGCAGGAGAGGAGGCGGAGGTCGCCCCGGAGGGCAGGGCCCAACGCAGCAGGTGAAGCCGGAAGGAAAGAAGGTCTGAAGAGGTCAGGAAGGGGGTTCTCCTTCCCTGCAAGTCTTCCAACAGACCAGGGACACCCTCAGATGGACAGAGAGATTCCAGGGTTGGGGGGAGGGGGGAGGATTTTCCAAGGTCGCTTCTCATTCACACACAGAGGGATGGATTGCAGGGGTGCCTCTGCGTCTTTCTGACTTGGAAGGCTGGGCGGGGCCTGGCAGCTGAGGGCAAGATAGCCGGGGGGGGGGACCAATTCCCACCCCCCACGGGACCCACAGAGCTTCCTGTCATCTCCGGGTAAGGCAGTCCACCTCTGAGCCACTGCTGCCCCCTGCTGGCAGAGCACTTCAGAGGCAGAACAGAGTGGATGCCCCGCCCCCCCAACGGCCCTGTCACTCATCAGGGCCACACCCACTGTATGTGTCACCAGCCTGAAGGGTTTGCCAAACCATTACTTGCCCTGCCCACAAAGATGATTCACCGCCTGCATGAAAGTGCTAACCAGGAACGGCCTCGGCTGGCCTGAGCACAGGCTTGGGGGGATGGGGGCTTCTTCCTTTCTGAGGGGCCTCAGCTCCTCCCTCCCCCACCCCCGCTGAGCTAGACCAAACTCCCAACCAGCCATTTGCAACTCCCCCCCCCCACAAACACACACAGAGCCATGGTGTGGGCAGCTCATGCAGGGCAGTGGCTAGGCGCTCCTCCCTGGCATAGCGAAGTCCTGGGCTGGTGGCGGGCAGAGAAAGCAGCTGCTGGGTGCCTCAGTAAGTGGTGAGAACCAAAACCTTCTTGCTGCCAGAGCAAATCCCGCAAGCCAAGCCCCTGGAACGAATGGAATGCAGCCGCCTCCTCCCTCCCTGGGGTGTGGGGGGGGGGAGGCCAGAGTGCCGGCTGACATTAATCCCACTCTCCGGCCAGATGGGGAGGGGTCCTGGGGCCACTTGACAGGCAGCGGGGAGCAGAGCCCAGGTGCACAAGTGCTTGAGGGCAGGAGAAGAGGGGCCGTCAGAGACCCTTGCAACCCCCCCTTTTGGGGACAACCCTCACACAGGTGCTGCTGCACCCACCACCAAGGAGCAAGCGCTGGAGCCCCCCGTCCGAGGGAGAAGGGCTGCCAGGCTCACCGCCAGGCTGCGCCAGAGCACAGAGCCAATGGGGGGAGGGGACCTGAAGGACCAGCAGGGAAAGGGAGGGGGCCTTCCCGGGGCCAAGGGCTCAGGAGGGCCGCTTGGGGGTTGCCTTTACTAAAGTTAGAGGGTCGCAGCTGTGGAATGCTGAACCTGCCTGAGCAGACAGGCGGCAACAGCCCCACCCAGCAACCAACAGCTCCTCCCCTCCGCCCCGCCCCGCCCCACCCCAGAGCCATGGGCAGGGTCAAATTCCAGGCAAGGTCCACCAGAGGGGGGCAGTCTTTCGCTCACCCCGAATTCTCAACCCACACGTCCAAGGTTTCCTCCTAGGGGCAGGGCACCTTTCTCTCCAGTCACCCCACCCTGGAGGGCCAGGAGCTCCCCCAGAGCCACCGTTGCTCCTTTCAGCCAGGGATCCCACCCACAGCTGCCTGAATCCAACAGGGCTCAGCCACAGCAGAAGAGGAGACTACAAGGGCGGAAACTGACTGGATTTCCTCCCCTCCGTGACCCTCCCTGGCTCCCTTCCCTCTACCTGAACTACTCAGAAAACTCAGGTGCTCTGAAAACAGGACAAGCAGTTCTACCCCACAGGCGGACTCGGCACTTGCAGGCAGAAACCCAACCATCCCCACGCTGAGCCTGGGATGGGAGACCACCAGGGAACCCCCAGCACTTGGCCTCGACTGGGAGGTTAGACACACACCCCAGGAGGCGGCAAAGGCTTCTTTTGCAGGGCCGCCCAGGATCGGGAGGGAGGCATGTGGTGGCCCGAGTCTTTCTGACTAGAACTTCACCCAACGCCCCCACCCAGCCATTCAGCCCGGGAGGAAGCTCAACCCACCGGGAGGTCGGGCAGCTGCTTTCTCCATGTAGTGAACCTCTTTCTAACGTCCAGGGGGAGATTCAGCTTAGCGCCCCCCTCCTCCTCCTCCTCCCCCCCAAAGAGTTCAGCCGGGGTCACCCGAATAGTCTGTGCCGAACTTCCTGCTGAGACCCCAATGGGCAGCCAAGGGGAGCCCCGACGCCTCTTCCTCCTCCTCCTCCGCAGGGTTTCACAGGCGCCCTTCGCTTCTCCACGGCCACTTTCCCACCTTCTCACTCGAGCCCACGGCCCACGAGTCCCCGGCGCTCTCGCATCCACTGCCAGCCGAAGCCGGTCACCCTTGCCCGCAGCCCCCCGCCGGGAGACTCCGGGGAGTTTCCTGGGACAATTGGCGGGCCGCCGGGAGAGAGACCGCGGGCGAAGATGGGCCGGAGCTTTGGGCCGGCAGGGCCCGGCTTCTGCTCGCTCCCGGGCTGCACCAAAGCGGCGGAACGGCCAAATGCCCCAGTAGGGCAGCCGGCCAAGCGCCCGCGGCCAAAACGGGCACCCTCCAGCGCTGCCTTTGCGAGGAAACGCTCGGAATCGCCGCCATCGGTCCACCGGGCGTCTCGAGGCAGGCAGGGCAAGAGAGGCCGCCGCCGCCGCCGGTTGGTTACTGTTTTTATTATATGTGTCTTTGTTATTGTCTGTATTTCCCCTTCCCCGATTTTATGTGAGCCGCCCTGAGTCCCCTCAGGGAAAAGGGCGGCCTACAAATGTCAATAAAATCAAATCAAATCAAATCAAAAGCCTTGTTCGAGCGGGGAGAGCAAGGGAGGGAGCGGTCCGCGGCGAGCCGCCCGGCCTCCTCTGGCTCGCTCTCCCGGATGCCCCGGAGGGCTGACGGAGCCGCGCCACAGTTGCCAGCCCCTCCTCCGCGCTGCGGCCACCGGCAAGGCTCCCGGCTGGTCGGGCTCGCCCCCAACCCCGCTGCAGGCTCGGGCAGGCCCCCTTCCGCCGCCGGGCTCGGAGAGCGGCGGCCCCTGCAGGCCCAACGGGAGGATCAACCCCGCCAGGCGCGGCAGCGGACGCCGGGCGGGAGGACTCGCCGCTAGTCCCCTGGGTGGCGGGGCCGCGGCCACGCGAGCAGCCCAGCGGCCAAGGCGGGACCTGGCGGGAGCGGCCGAGGGAGGGATGGGCACCGCTCGGGCAGGGCGGCGGCCGGACCGTCCCAGCCGCTAGCGGGCTAGCGGCTGCGGCGTGGCCGGCCTCCCCGGACGGCGCGGGGAGACCGCTGGGGGCCGGCTGCTGCCCAGCCGCTCCGCAGAGGCTCCGAGGGCGACGTCGCAGCGGGCGCCCGGCCTGACCGCCACGGCGGCGGTTGCACGTGGAGGGGCGGGGCTGCTGCCCTGCTCGGGGACGGCGCTTGGCCCGTCGGCGCGGCCTACCTGCTCCGGGGAGTCGAGAGTCGCGAGGTCCAGCTGCGCTCTGCCCGCCGCGCCCTTCTCTCTCGCCGGCCAGAGGCGTCCGGCGGGGAGGTGGGCGCGCGGGGCGGTGGGCGGGCGGCGACGCCTCGGAGGCCCTCCCAGACGGGCGGAGCGACGGGCGGAGCGCGCAGGCGCCGCGGCGCCCGGGCACGGAGCTCTCCAAGGCCGCGGCTTCTCCTGCAGGGCGAGCGCCCAGACGGGGGCCCGGAGGCCGCGGGACGTTCCCCTCCCCTCGGCTCCCGGGGACTCCGCATTTTGGCGGCGGGTTGCGTGCCTTTCTGAGCCCCGCTGCCAAGGGAGGGTGCCAGCCCCCCTGCGGTTGGGCACGTGGAGCCCGGGGCGTTTCCTGCAAACAGAAAAGCTGCCCTTGTGGACGCTGGCCTGGCTAGCACAGCGTTGCCCGCGCGGCTTAAGGAGCGCCGCATCTGTAGGCAAGAAAAGGGCATTTCGCTTCTTCCAGAGGGAAAAGCCGCCCCCGCACAGCCGCAGGCTGCGCCTGGCCTTCTTTGCTTCTGAGCACCTGGCACCTGGCAGGGGGAGGCTGGGCCTGCGTCCCAGGGAGCCCAGGAGGAGCCCCAGAGCCTGGTCCAGAGTCTACCGGCAAGGAGGAACGCGGGATTGGCCTGGGACACGCAGCTTCCCCAGTGACCTTGGTCGGTAGAAGCTGAAGAAAGTTGCTTCACGTAATGACCGTGGGATTCAGTTAACTGTGGCACGGAGGCCTGTGGGAACTGCCATTGTTAAGCAATCGACTCATACTTTACAACCACATCACCTGGTGGTGGAAATTCCACTCCTAATTGCCGTTTTAAGTCAAGGACTACCTGTAGAAAGAGGTGGAAGTTGGGGGCCAGGGTGGGGGCCAAGTGAATCAGCTGCAGCCCTTTCCAAAGGCTACGTGAACGTGCAGGGGCAGATCCATGTTTCGCTGCCTACTGCTCCGGTTAGGCCATCCTTGGACCACGGCAGGGAGCTTTGAAGGGGAACCGGAGAACCCAGAACGGCTGCTCAGAAGAGCCGCCAGGCTGATCCAAGGCTTGGAGGCCGACTCTTAACTCTCTGGGACACCGTGCAGCCTCCGCTTGAGCACATTCAATGAAGGGGAGTCCGCCTCTGGTCTGGGCCGCTGGGTCCTCCAGAGTCCCACCGTTCTTCTTGTCAGACATTTGTTCCAATACTCGGCTGAAATCTGGTTTTGTAACTTCCATTCCTTAACCCGCCTCCTGCCCTCTGGAAACAGAGAGAGCAGCTGCTGCTCCTGGCTTTAGAGCCAGCGAACACGTTGAGTTCCGGTGGGGGAGGAAGGTTCCTTGGGGATCCTCCTGTCCAGCTCCTGGCTAGTGCGGGAACCCACTGAAGGGCTTCCGGTCTTTCCCGAAACCTCTTCAGTTGCAGCGCTGAGGAGCTCTTACTCTCGGAGAAGGCAAAGAGATCTGCCTCGTCTCTGGGTATCTGACCAACCTTGCACTGATGTTAGCTTGGCATCTAACAGAATGACAGAGTTGGAAGGGACCTTGGAGGTCTTCTTGTCCAGCCCCCTGCTCAAGCAGGAGACCCTGAGCCATTTCAGACAGTCCCTTAAAAACCTTTAGTGATGGAGGAGCACCCACAACTTCTGAAGGCAAACCATTCCATTGGTTCTCACGGTCAGGAATCTCTTCCTTCGTTCTAGGTTGCTTCGCTCCTTGATTAGTTTCCATCTGTTGCTTCTTGTCCTGCCCTCTGGGGCTTTGGAGGACAGCTTGACTGCCTCTCCTTTGTGGCAGCCCCTGAGATATTGGAAGGCTGCTATCCTGTCTCCCCTGGTCCTTCTTTTCATTAAACTAGACATTCCCAATTCCAACAACCATTCTTCCTATGTTTTGACCTCCAGTCCCCTAATCACCTTTGTTGTTGTTCTCTGCACACAGAGTCTCAACATCTTTTTTATATTGTGGCGACCAAAAGCGGATGCAGGATTCCAAGTGTGGCCTTACCAAGGCATGTTATAAAGTTGTAGTAACACTTTATCT